GTTGCATACTAAGCCCCGAAATGCACTATGGGCGAAGTGTACGCGATCATTGAAATGTCAAAACGAAATGTGATTTCTCCAAACTTTTTCTGCACGTTTCTCCGGTATATTCTCTTCTTTGCTGATATTATTTAAATATGAATATTATACATTTATATCATGGTAAGCAACATGAGAAATGCAACATGTAGATGGCAACAAAACCTTCACTAAGTTTCTTCGAAATGGCTGTAATGCGCGACTTACTAACTTGAAATTTGGGTCAATGCAATGAAATGTATATAGAAACTGTTCCAAATGCAGTGATTGGTTGGTGGGTAATAGAGTGTAACCCTAAGTCTGCTGTTAACGCAAATTGCGGGGAAAATGCTTCCAAATAAGGAACTGATATAACTCGGAAAAAAAACAAGAAAAAAAAAAACAAAACAAAAAAAAAAAACCAACATGTTTGCTCATAGAAATTATTATGATGCAGTGATGGACAAAAAGATAACAATTTGTAACAACAGCACAATTTTTCAATTAAACTTTAGTCAAGTAATGGTGTTATGTGGCCGTGGTTTGACGGACCACGGAACGGCGGAACATCCTCAGAAAAAAATATTTTAATGCACAGTAATGCAAAAGTACCTTTTATATCCATTTAATATGATTATTTATACAACATCAACTGCAATCCACACTTTTCTCATAAGAAAGAGTCTATAATCTATATTACGTCTCTTAGCGTCTGCATGAATTAGAACCTAGTCCCCTCTCAACTTTATTTTGCTGTGCTTTTCCCCGAAAAAAAAAAAATTGCCGGAATGAATAACGACGTTAAATATGAGGTTGTCTTTTTTAACTGTTCTTTTATTTTATTTTAGCCTCAAGAAAGAAAGAGAGAGAAAAAAAAAAAAAAAAAAAAAAATAGGCTTGTAGTTTTATTACTTGACTTTCTTAGCTTGGTAAATACGCAACTCTGTTGTGCTTGCCCTTGATTCACAGTTGTTGATTTAAAGCAATAGTCGCAGTAAAATATAAACAAAAAATACTGTATAGCCATATTGACTGAGAAAATACTGAGAAAGTTTAGTACACACAAGTTTCAGTTCACCCATCCAGGTACTAACTTCGGTCAACCGGACTTGACTCAGTGTCACTGAAGCCCAAGTTTTTTCCACTGGACCACAGTTCCAGGTGAATCAGCATAACAATAGCCGTGAAAACAATGCACCGAATAGACTAGACTTTTT